GGGGAGCAACCCTGTGCAAGGGCCTGAGGAGCATCAGGGACAAAACGAGCCCCTTCCTTTCCTTAAGGCAGCTCCCGGTCACAGGGAGCCAAGGCAGAGACACAGGTAACCCCAAGGTCAACAAAGGTGGAAAGAGCTGGAGGGGCTGCTCAGGCAGAGGTGACAAATGCCATGGGTGGCAGGGACACTGGTGGACATAGAGGGAAGTGTCTGCATGGACAGGATTGCAGAGAAGAAAGGAGTCAAAGGAACAGGGTGGGGGGAGAGGACAAAACCAAGTCGGGTGGGGGAGACGCTTTCTAGGGCGTGGTCTCCTCTGCTTGAGGGACCGAGGGCACGGCTAGGGACGCGAGGCTGTGTCAGTCCACGGGGGTGTGTGTGTATGTCTGTGTGTGTATGTGTGTGAGAGAGAGAGAGAGAGTGAGTCAGAGAGGGACTAGAGAGAGTGCAGGGCTTGAGCAGCATGGTCAAAGGAGAGAGGGAAACTGCAAGCCAGGATGCGGTGTGTTCTCCCTCCCGATCGATGAGTCACTAGCTGGGGGCGCTCCTTCCCTTGCTCCTCCCCACAAATGACGCAAGAGTTAGAGTCCATAGCCAAGTTTGATCCTCAAACTCACGACTGTTTCCTCATCAAAAATTAACTCAAGCAATTTCCCCTTTCTTCCCTAGGTTAACACACCCCGAAAGCTGGCCTGTTTACCTTACACTATCAGATCTGTCCTCAGCGTCTTCCGAGGCCTGAGATCTGCTTCTGAGGTTTATGGGTTGTTGTTTTCTAACTGCAGTAAGAAATTAAATTGAAAGTCAAGTCACCTGGCTTCTAGTCAGGGCCAGGCACTAAACAGTGGCATGATCCTGGGACAGTCACTTTCCTTCCTCTCTAAACCTCATGCAACCATTTTTGAAATGACAGGCCACACTAAATGACCTCTCAGGGCCCGTCCAGCAGTGACCCTGGGCCGGTCGACTCCAGGCCTCATAGACGAGCACCAAATGCTCACCTGGGTCAGCGGTGGACCCAGTGACCCAACCCTTGGTGTCACTGCCCCTGGGGCTGCTCACCCACCTGCCTGCCCCTCCACCAAAGAGCTGGGTGACCTCCAGCAAGTCGCCGAATTAACCTGTGTCTCACACTGCTCATCAGAGAACAAAGATAATCACAGCTCCTACATAGTGGGGTTGTGAGAATGAAATGAGTTAATAAGTCTATAAAGTACGGGGACAGAGCTGGGCAAATGGTAAGTGTTGTATTTAAGCACAAGCTGTGTTAGTATAATCATTACCCTCAATGCCGATTTAATCAACACCGATCCTCCAACCAGCGATAGCACAACCCGAGGCCTCGCCTCTGTCCCAGCAAATTTGTGGAGGCCTCTCTGGAAGGTGGGGCGAGGTCTCACGCCTCCCTCACACTGCCTTCTTCATTATTTAGGTCCCTCGTCCCATCTCCTCCACCACACTGCAGCTCCCAGGCGCAGGATGAACACAGGTCATTTGTTCCCTCCCCGAGGGCCCCTAGGTTCCCACTCCTTGGGGGGTGAATAACAGCGTCCTCCCCTAGGAAACAAAGGAGGTGAGTCCAGAGACTGACAGCCTCAGCGTCCTGCCCAAGGAGAGTTTCCAGGCTGCAGCCCAGGGAGGGGAGCAACAGGAGCCCCGGGGCCTCTGTTGAGGAGATCCAGATAGGAGCTCCCAGAGGCCAAAGGCGGGGCAGAGAGCTGGAGAAGGAGAAGCTGCTCAGAGAGGGCCCTGGAGACGCGCAGAGGGGCCCATCCAGCATCTGGGTGAGTGCTGATCTGTGCACGCAGGAGAGGGACCTGCCCGGCTGAGAAGAGGCCCCTGGAAATCAGCAGGCTGGACAAGGACCGGGGTTCACCGGGGCTGGGAACTGTCCACGTGCCCATTCACCAGAGGGGACAGACCGCGTAAGAGGGGTGCTGTCTGGTTATCAGAAGTTTACCGTTAACTAACCCTTAAGAGGCAACTAAACTCCAATGACCTAATAGTGAAATTCTAGTTTAATGCTGAGATTGGCCCTATATCTTGCTTTTAAAAGTGGTCATTCCTGTTTTGCCCTCTTCCTCTCAGCTCCTCTCTACAGACTTGAGTCCCAGCCCGGACACGTTTCCTCTTTGAGCTGCAGTTTCTCATCTGTAAACTGTAATTACCTCCACTCCCCCAAAGGACCGAGGTGGTCGTCTGAAGCGTTGGCGCCCTGGGGTGTTAGGGTCAAGGCAGAGCCTCCCTCCCTTCCCCACTTGTCATGCACACATGAACAGGAAAGGCAGGAGGTGCTGTTCCCGGGCCAAAACGTAGCTGCTATTATAAAGGAGCTCAGGCCAAAATGCCAGAGACCATCCTACTGAATCTCGTTTCCTCCACGTTAAAGACACGTGAAAACCATGCCCAGCTCCCGGGCTTGTCAGGAAAACTACACAGGACAACAGATGCTCATGGCAGGACCGAATCTGCCCAACAGCACATGCTCGGTGCCTGTCTCTGCCCCGCTCCCCGACCCTGCCCTGGAAGGCGGAGCCCCCTTCTCTTCCATCCCTGGCTAAGGGAAAGTGGCCCAAGAACAGGGACAGAGGCCTTCTGAGCAGGGCCTGGGGCCACCAGCCACTGCAGCCACACAGATTGATAGGCTTCCCGCTCGCCCCTCAAATTGCACCTGTGCAAGGCCCTCAGCAGAGGGACAACAGAATCATCTGGACACACCAGGCCTGTGGCCCTGCAATGCCGTCACTGTCATCCCTTGATGTTTGGGTTCCTCTGCATTCCTCCATGACCCCCTCCAGCATCTCTCTCCCCCATGTCCTTCAGAAGCTCCTGCCTCCACCTCAGGGAGCCGACAGCAAGGTGCCAATCAAGCAGGTGGCAGCCACTGCTGGGCTGCACACCATGTGCCCTGTGACCCTCCCAGCACCACAGTGACCGACCCCACCCTGAGGATGTGATTTGTCCTCCCACAGGCGCCCTCACGGCTCTCAGTGGTTTACAAAGGGCCCTGCAGACTTTCATCTCCTCCCCATTTCACACTTGGGGAAGCGGGGGCCACACCAGGGTCCCAAAGCTGGAAAGGAGCAGAGCAGGCCCGCTGTCTCCAGCTCCAACATCAGGACTCACAAGCCTGAGTGAGCTTCCGAGCCGCTGAGCCTCACAGTTCCTACTTTGATAGGTGGAAGCCCGCGCGGAAGACCTGGAACGGAAATGGGGCCGTGCCAGCACTGCAGACAAGGACCGGGGCCAGGAAGGAGCTCAGCACTGGGCCCCGTGACGTCCCCCTTCAACAGCCCGAGGACACGGGCCCCATCACGTTACAGGCAGGGCTGGGGCAGCAACTGGCCCCAGGTGACACAGTTCAAGGGCAGAACTGGGATTCCAGTCCCCCTGCCACCCTCCCCTGCTGCCTAATCTGGGTCTCCTGGTCATCGGCCCCGAGTCTCGGAAAGCTGATGGAGCCTTGAAATCTCTCAGAGCACCGAGGAATCAAAACCATGACTCTGTGGCCCACCGCTTTCTACTTCTTGACGAGCAAAGAATTACAGCCGAGTGGAGCAAGGGTGTAAGGAGCCAGGAGCGCTTGTGGACTCGGTGGGAGTGTAAATGGTGCAGCCTGCTTTCGGAGGACAGTTGGTCAATATCTGAACAAAAGCATAAAATAATCTAACTGACTGACACAGCAATTCCACTTCTAAGGGGCCACCCAACAGTGCACATGGATATATGGCACACACAAGGGTGTGCACCACAGTGCTGCTGGAATTAGCCAAGACAAACGGGATATTATCTAAAAAGATATTCACAGGAGACAAGAGAAATAAACTAGCTCACCTAATGTCTGCTTTATCCATACAATAAAATATTAATTCTGTTGCTAAAAGAATAAGATAAATGTGCATGTACTGACATAAAACATATAATGGAATTTGTTATTAGCTCCGGATTTAACAAAAGGGATCATGACTGTAAATGCATAAAAAAAGGGCAAGAGTTGAGACGGGTTGAGAAGAGGAGTTTGGGATGTCAGAGGCTTAGGTCTCACGTTGCCCAGAGCATGAAATTCAGATTTTTGACCTCCTCCACACAGGTATCCCTACATTCACCCAGAGACACCCGGCCTGACTAAAGAAGCCGTTCATGACGCAGCGTTAAACATAACTTTGTTAAAAATAAATTCCGTAATTTTTGTGATTATAAATATGATTGCTTCTCTGAATTTTAAATTTGTTAAATGAAAATATTTAAAATTTCATGATATCTGTAATGTCGATTTGGCATTTAATTTTTCTTTTTAAACATATAAGGAACGTGAGAAGCGTGACGAGCCAGAGTTTCATCAGCCGTGCCCGGAATACACGCTGCCTCCCGCGCGCCCGTTCGGGATGCGCACTGCTAGCTCGCGTTTGGGAAGCTACACACCCCTTCTTCCTCGCGGAGTGAGGGCGGCTCGTACTGAGCCTTTTCCGCGCCGCTTTTCCGTTTGCCGGAAAGCGACTAGAAGAAAGCCGGGAAAGCGCGCCCCGCGGACATCCGGGCTCAGAACTGAAACGTGGGGCAGGCAGCAGAGTCAGACTTCGCGGGCTACTGTTTCACCGACTTGAGATAACTACGTTTTAGAATTTAAATCTGAGTGAAAAAAGTAAAAAGAAAGAAAGAAAAGAAAGCCAATATCTCTATCGCTCCCTGCGCTTGCTCGGGAGTTTCCAACTTGACCCTGGTCCCTCCACTATTCTGGAATTCACCCCTGGGACCGCCCGCCGTGGCCAGCCCGGCCAAGGACCCGCAGGCGGAGCGCGGGCTCTTCGCCCTCTCGGTCCAGGTCGGCGCCGCCGGGCCGGGGACCCCCTTCTTCTCCGGACTCTGCCCACTGTTCGATCTGCCTGGACATGTCCCGGCCGCTGGTGACCCGGGCAGGCACCTGGCCGCGTCCCCTCCCCCTGCTCCCTCCCGGCCACCAGGCGAGCCTTCCCGAGCCAGGAACCCCGGCGGCGACTCACCAGCAGCAGGGTACCCAAGACGAAGATAAGGGTCCTGGGGCCCGGCGCCGGCCTGGGACCTGGCGCGCACCCTGCCGGGGCGCCCGAGGCGGCCAGGGCGCTGGGTCCCCGCTGCCCCGCGGGGTTAGGGAGCGCTCCGAGTTCTGGGCGCCGCTGGGTGACACCCGGCAGAGTCATCAGGAATTAATCCGTGTGTTCCCGGAGCGCTGGAGGACGCGGCGCGTTCAGCAGCTCCGCTGGGGAACTGTGGAGGCGGCTTTGGTACCTTTGCCTTTCACCAGTGGGAGGGGCGAATCGGAGCCAGTAAGCAAGCCTGCCCGCAGGTTGGCAAGACTCGTGACTACAGTGACGTGACTACAGTGGCATGTAGTTACGTCCAAGCTCTGGTTCCTGGATGGAGGGCGGCGCCACATCGAAAGAGTTTAAAACTAGGAAGTTTGTTAGACATTTCTAACACCTTATTATTGATTACGTTATGACAGAGTGAAGTCTTGGCTTCCTGGTCTGACATTTAAGACCCTGCTATTGGCTGACCTGTACCAGCCTTTCCATCCATTTCTTTCACTCTCCTTGTACATGAAGACCTCCTCCCGGACCTCCAGTCACCCTGGTAGCTATTGTTTGTCATTCTAAGGAAATCGCTTTTTATCATATTCCTTGTGTCCCAGGCCTCACTCTTTTTTTTCTTTTTGACACTTGTCTTTCCGAAGAAAAAGCCCGAGGCTAACAATGCACTGGCAAGCAATTGTCAGACTGTTGACAATAAGGAAAAGAAACAGGATGAGTGTCTAAAGGCAGCGATCCATCCAAGCTTAAAGTACTAAAAGGAAGGAGCTGACCGCAAAAGAGTCATTGCACACATTGTCTTGTCCTCAGTGGCATTTGATACGTGGTAAGTCAAAGCAGCAGCAGCCACGTCCAAACTACCTCGAAGGTCAGGTTGGGTCTCTGCTACATTTTAGCGATTCTAAACATGAGGTAATAGGAATATTTCCCTTCCCTTTAAAAAAAACTATTTATTTTTATTGAGATATAATTTACATGTAACATTATATTTGTTTCAGGTGTATCACGTGATTCAATATTGTATATATTGCAAAATGATCACCACAATAAGTCTATTTAATATCTATCACCACACATAGTTAACAAATTGTTTTTTTCTTGTGATGAGAATTTTTAAGATCTACTCTTTCAGCAACTTTCAAATACCCCATACAGTAACTATAGTCACCATGTTGTACATGACATCCCCAGGGCTTATTTCGTTTATAACTGAAAGTTTATACCTTGCCCTTGAAGGGAGTGTCCTGTTTTATGTTCTCCACCATCCTTATTGCAATTACCTTCAGGTTTCATTCTTTATTCCATCTCATCCAAAAGATTTCTTCTTTCTTGGAAATGTACTAGCTGTTCTCTACTGCTCACTTGACACACCATGTCTTCCCTTCCATTTTCTTTTCTTTTTTTGCATACTGTATATGTTGTGACAACGATTCTGTTAACATAATTTTCGTATCCCCTTCTTTTTTTTTTACTTCAAATATCTCTTTGTTTTCCACATTGTGTCTTACATCCATGGGCTAACACAAAGAATTTGCTCAATAATTGTAGATCTTGATCTTAGGGAGACATAAGCTTGTCCCAATACCTTTTTTTCCTTACTGGGACTATGTAAGCTTTCCAAATGACTGTTATTTCTAATTATTGAGGTCCTTGATGAAGATGGCCAGAGTGGGGGGTGGTGCAAAGGGGAGGCAGGGACAAGGACAAGCCAGAAGAGCCAACTTCCTACTTGTGTCTTCCTTTGGTTCCTCTTTTAGGCTATTTATATTTGAATATTAGCCTTGCAGAAAGTGAGGGTCGATAGAAACCATCACTTATTGTCAAAGTTCCCTAACTTTTCTCCTGTTTGAGAAAAGTCTCTGATCATTTTATGACTAATCTCTGAGCTACTTCCTACCTGGCAACCTGGCGGCCCAAAGGAGGGTTAGAGAGGACTACCCAGAGCCTTTCCCTCTGGCCACAGCTGACTGGTATTGGGCAGAAATCCCTTTCACCCTCCCTCTTGCACAAGAAAATGATGATAATTGGTGCTGCCACAGATAGGAATTGAGGCTTCTTGAAAATCCAGAGTTGGCTTTGTTATTGTCACCTTCCTGATCGGTGACCTTACATGGTGGGCCACAGCCTGAGGACCCGCTGTCAGGGCATCTAGATGGAGCAGGACAGCTCTGTCCTCACAGTCAAAAGGAGTTCTCAGTGTTCACAGTGACAGTGGGTAGTGTCCAGGACCCTCGGTGGCACTGTTTGTGTTTCTCAAGCATGTTCAAAATGTCAACGCCTCAATCTATGAAGCAAACAGTACCTGCCGTAGACGTAGGGATCCAGTTTTATTGGATTCCTGGTATTCACCTGACACTGATTTAGCTACTTTACATTCATTGTCTTATTCAGTTCTCAGAACAGTTCTTTGAGGAGGTATTAGCAGCCCATTATTGCAGATGAGGAAAGCTGAGGCCCTGACAGGTGATGCAGCTCGCTCAGGTGAGGTCCCTGCATTTAAATAATGGAACTGACTCTAAATCCTGCCTTTCCTCTCCACTGTGGTGATTTGCTGAGGTTTGCCCAGAGGACGTGGACCAGGCTGCATACATTTACAGAAGATACTGTACCCTCTGTGTGGGAGGTACCCAATCTTGTTTCATTGCCTTATTCACCAAGAGAACCTTGCCCACTGCCTGGCTCAAAGCAGATGCTTGTAAATGTTGGCTGCACAAGTGAATGAATAAAAGACGGACCACATGACTCCCATTGCTCAGAACACACAAGAGAGTAGAAGGTCATCCCTTTTGTGTATTCTCTACTTCTTGGGCAGTCCTACCAGGGTCTCTCTCCCACAGGTTTCTGCCTGCTGTGGTTCTAGGAGGATTACAAACACCATCTTAAATTGAGATTAATGAAAGCAAAGGCCATTTGTGCAATCATAACAATGAGGAGCAGTTTCATTACTGTCAAACAGGTAGGAAGAATTGAGATCTTTTCAATATTTTTCTTTCAAAAAAGATACTTCAATTCAAGTATTTTATTATAATTCAATTGACATTTGTGATTTTCTTCAGATGAACTATTCTTATTTCTTATCAAGGCTATTTCTTTGTATTTTATAACCCTTATGAATTTGATTCTCTTGTAAATATATTTTTAACTGGTTCTTTCTACTAAGCGTTTTGAATATTCATCCAGATATACGTTTACTTTATTTACTGTAGTTTAGACCTAACGGTTTTTAAAGTATGCAATCACGTCTAAAATAGTGATTACTTTCTCTACTCCCTTCCAAGAGTCTTGCCTTTTATTTTTGGTTCTTGTTGTATAGGCTAGAACTTTGAGTACAAGGTTCAATGGTGGTGAGAGAAGGTAGGCATTTTGGTCTTGATTTGGTTTTATTGGGAAGGCCTAAAGGCCTTTCACCATTAGTAATGACATTTGCTCTTGTTTCCCTATAGAAATTCTTCTTATTATATATCCTCCTATTCTGATCTGTTTTAAGAATGAGAATAGGTGTTTAATTTTGCCAAAACCTTTTCAGCCTCCATTAAGACAATAATGCTTTTTTATTTAGACTGTTGATATAGTACATTATTATTAATCAGAACACAGTCTCATTCTTGGAATAAGCCCTTACTTTAGATTTTCCAAAGTACTCTTATATATATTCTTCCATTGAGTTTCATAAAAGTCTGTGAGGAAGTAACTGTCTCTTGTGGGGGTGGCAGAGAATTGACTGGAAGGGTGGAAGGGGACTTTCTGGGGTGTTAGAAATTTTCTGTCTTGATTGAGTAATAGTTGCATGCAAGTACACAGTTGTCAAAGTTGAAATGGAATACTCAAGAAGTGAGCAGATTACTGCACATAATTTATGCCTCAATGAGCAAATAGGTACACAGAGACCATGAGCTACACAGAGTGGGAGGTTTTTCTCCATGTTCATAGAGACTCAAGAGGGGAAGTGGCATGGCCCCGTTCACACAGCTAGCTGGTTGTCAGGATCAGCACTGGAATCCAGAACTCCTGAGTCAGACCGAGGACCTTCTCTACTGTATTTTACAGGAACAGGCAAAAGATGAGATGAATGAATGAATTACAATTAATGTCATTGGTTTCTTTTTAACTTTTAAAAAGATACAGCCTTTAGAAAATATAAACTTATATTCCTGACTTGCCTTGTATTTCTATGAATGGTGGTGTGCTGTGCATTCCACGCGCATCTCATTTAATCCCCAGTACAGTCCCAAGACTTGTATGATTTGCTCTGTTGTACAGGTTAAATTCTTGCTCAGAGTCTGTTTGCCCTCTAGCTCTGCCATGTTATTGGAGGGAAGGCTGAGCTGAGTATAACGCCAGGAATCTTCCTGCCCTCAAGCCCTTGCCGCTTCCATAGATACACATATGGCAGCCCTGGTGCAGCCCGAGCAGATTCCCTCCTCTGAGGTCCTTTTCCACCCAGTCTGTCCAATCCTCTGGCTAGTACCACTTACTGCTTTCTCTCTTTGTAACATCCATCTCCCCTCCCCAGGAGGGCTCTCAGCCCTCCCGTAGGGCAGGATTCTCTGTTGACCTTGACTCCCCGCAGTGCCTTGGGCCCAAGTGAGGCCCAGGCAGTGTGGCCTGATTCTCAGCTGATGGGAAGCTGGGAAGGGAGGCAGAGCAGCAGGCTCACCAGTATAGGGAGCTCATCAGGTTCTACATTTGGGTTCTAGGCCTGATTTAGGGCCCTGTACTCTTTCTGAAGGGTGTCCCAACTCACGTGACTATCTGTGTATCTTTCCCACCGTCCAGCCCTGATGCTGTTCTTTGCTTACTTTCCAAGCATTGAGCCCTTTAATTCCTGGAACCCACCCATGTGGCTGAGGGGCCTTGCTAGCAATGAGATCCATGTGGCTGGAGCATGAGCCATGGGCCCACAGGATGCCTTGTATGAAACGCTCCTAAGTGGCTCAGCAAAGCACTCTGCTGGATGCCATGGAAATGTTAGAGGAAAGAAACGTAAAGAAGACAATTCAGGACCACCTGTTGCCTCTGTAAAGTTCATCTATCAATAAAGGGGAGCCTTCTCTGCTGTATTGAGGGACTGAAAAAAATCTCTTTAGGAAACCAGAAGTTCCCTCATAGGTGTTAATATATAATACTTATTGATTTATGATTACTATTAAATAAACACTAGAAAAGAAATATTGCCTACATGAGGCCCCTGTATTAAGTTACCTC